CCGCGCGCGCGCCGACATGGAGGAGCCCGTCTTAGCAACGAAGGCGCGCCGAGTGTTCGGATCAGAGGAGCTTCTTCGAGCGGAAGAAGGAGCGGAGGTAGATGATCTGCCAGCACGCCGTCGCGAAGAGCACGCCCATGGAGATGACGCCGAAGAGCTCGACGCGGTCGCGGCCGCTCTCGGACGCGTCGCGCAGGTCGGACTCGCGCTCGATGGCCGCGTCCATCTCCGCGGCGATGTCCTTGAGCATGTGCTCGCTGTCGTCGAGCTGCTTCTCGACGGGCCCGAAGACGCTGTCGCTGACGCCGTCGTAGTCGCGCACGCCCCAGCCCTGGTCCACGGCGATGGACACGCGCTGGGGCTTGCTGTGGTGGTTCTCGACGCAGGCCTTGTGCAGGCCGGGCACCTTGGTCGTGAACGAGAACGTCTTCTCCGTGAAGTCGAGGCTCTCGCTCCACATCAGCTTCTTCCGCGGGTTCTTCACCGTCACGCGCACCTTGCTCGACTTCGTGGGGTCCGCCTTGTGCTTCTCGGACCCCATGACGACGAAGGACCACTTGCCCAGCGAGTCGTCGGGGAACTCCTCGCCGACGCAGCGCTTCGACGTCGCCGGCACGTCGACCATGACGAAGTCGCTCTCGGCGTTGAGCAAGTGCGCGAGCCAGCCCAGGGCCGCGAGGGCTAGCCTTCGGCGCGCGACCATGACCGCGGAGGCGACCGGCGGCGCGCGCGAGCTCTGCCGGGAGAGGCGGTATTTCCCTGCCGCGGGACGGTCCGTCGCCGCGCGGCGACGGACACTTCAAGCAAAAAGGCAAGCGCTTTTCGTTAAAGGAGTGGCTGCCCGAGAGCGTCAAACCAGGCGACGGACCTCGTCTTCAGCGCCTATTTCACCGCGTTCTCCATCTCCAAGGCCGCGGCCCGCCATGATTCCCGGCGACTTCGACGACGCTGCGCTCTTGGAGCACGACATCGACGTCGACGGGCAAGATGATCCACTGCGCGCGCATCGCGTCGCGCTCGAAGAGGCCGCGCAGCACGAGGCGAAGATCAAGGCGAAAATGAGCGAGGTGGAGGCCGAGCTGAAAAAGATGAAGGACTCGAGGAAGGGCAAGGGGTCCGGCAACCCGGGGAAGGAGCACTCGAAAAAGAAACGGATGCTCGAGGGCCAGCTCAAGGAGCTGCAGGAGGGCAAGTTGCCCGCGGCCAACGCGGGTCTCCGCAAGAAGAAGCGCGTGCTCGAGGGGCCGGCGCTGGCGCGCGCAGTAGCGCAGGACGCGGAGCACCACGCTGCGCCGGCGCGGCCGCCCGTGGGCACGACGGCGAAGGCCGCGCGCGTCGCGGCGCCGCGGATTATGTCGGGCGCGCTGCCGGCCAACGCCGCGGACGAGGACTCGGACGACGGCGCCGAGGACGAGGACGAGGAGATCGTGACGGAGAACCCGACCTACTACAAGATCCCGCTCGGCCAGAGGCTCTGGATCGATAAGGTCAAGAAGGACGTGAAGGGCACGTCCAGCGGCCCGTCGAACGTGCTCGCCCAGCGGCGCCGCGCCACGTTCGAGCCCCCGGACCCCGACCTCGAGCCGACGTTCCTGGGCGCGATGAAGATCCACATCTTCGCCCCCCACCTCACCGACGGCAAGCCGAAGCCG